GTTCGGATCCGGCGTTAAACTGTAGGTCCTATATATTATTAGATATATATATATATATATAGATCCTCCAGGCTCTGGGGATTGGGCATTAGATCTAATAACTTAATAATTCCGGAAAAAAAAATTTATTGTTACGGAAATCTAATGAGAAGTAGGCCCTGTCCCAACTTTATTATTATATTGCACCATTGAATTATATATGCATGCGTGCGTGCGTGCGTGCCGTTTAAATATTCATATTTAATTATTGGAAATAAATGTTGAAATTTTTTTTTTGTTATTGATTTTAATTATGAGAATTAATTAGCAGTTCATTAACTTGACAGAGATATATATGACAAAATGAAAGCAGAAATACGTCTTATGAAGGAAGAATTAAGTGCTATAGAAAGGTATCGGACACCAAAAGAAAAAAGTCTTGCACAATGTACTTCAAGTTTGGAAGCTATGCGTGCGACTAAAGACGGCCTGGAGAGTGAATTACATCAAGAACTTATGGCACAATTATCCGTTGCGGATCAGCATCAGGTGAGCGTAAACATATTTTTAATTGCAGTTGAATTTAAGTTGAATTTAAGTATATCATATTTCTTTTTCCTTTTTTCTACCTTAAATTAAAGATTGAAACTCTATTAGTTTCGATTTTGGTAGGTCGATACTTTAAATGACGATATCAGACGCTTAACGAAGGAGAACAAAGAAGCATTCGCGAAACGAATGCAATTAGAAGCAGAGAAGAATAAGTTAGAGAACTTATTAACGAACAACTTGGTGAGGAGAAAGGACGAGCTAGTTCAAGCTTTACAAGAGATATCGGTCGAAGATCGACAGCGGCAGCTTGATTCATCAAAGATCCAGTTAGCGGATATCGAAAAGAGATTAGTGAAGGTAAACGAGGACTTCAAAGCACAAAATGAAAAAGTGACCAATGCCATGAAGAAAGTAAGTATTTAAGAACACAGTGACCACTTTTTTGGTAAAATGTTTAAATTAATATAATCTTTAATCTCCCCATTTTATCGTATGTTTAGCAAAAATCGGAGTCTGCGGAAGTTGAGAAATGGAAATTAAAAGAAAAAGAAGCGCAAGAGAAGATTGAAACAGATGCGAAAGACTTGGAGAAATTAGCAAGCAAGTTAAATATCCTGCAGCAGAAAATAGTGGAGTGTACACAAAAAATTACTGAACTTGGCGCGTTGCCTAGTCACGAAGCTTATTCTAAGTTTAGTACAATGTCCACGAAACAGCTTTTTAAGGAAATGGAAAAGGCAAATAATCATTTAAAAAAATATAGGTGCGTACTTTTTCTATTTAAATATAATAAATCAACACAAATTATTAATAATTATTGACTTATTATATTTATTAAAGATTGTGTTAACAAATTTATTATATTTACGTTTTATATTTCTAGCCATGTGAATAAAAAAGCTTTGGATCAGTTTATGTCCTTCAGCGATCAGAAAGAAAGATTAGTGAAACGGAAAGAAGAACTGGACCGAGGCGACGAGAAAATAAAAGAACTCATGTCAGTACTTGAACAGCGCAAATGTGAAGCGATACAATTTACATTTAAGCAGGTATATTTACATATACAGTATACCGTTTAAACTTTTAAAATAGTGGAGGATTAATATTGATATCTTAAAAATCTATCATGATAATCTAAATTTCATGTGGCAATCTTTTTTTTTCTTTTTTTTTAAGGTGAGCAAGTATTTCAGTGAAGTATTCAAAAAGCTTGTACCTTCGGGTCATGCACAATTGGTCATGAGGACTGCGGACGGCGATGAAGGGGATGACGGAACAGCAGAACCGTCAGATTCTGATAGATTTATAGGCGTAGGTAGGGAGAAATAGATTTTTACACTTATCTGAGGTATATTGTGTAATATATATAATAAGAAAGATTTATTTGAAAATTTTTTTAATTTTTTTCTTCGAGTTAACTATATTTCACGTTTATGTGATATGTACTTTATTTATAGATTTAAAAAATTTGTATATTTATTATTTCTAGGCATAAAAGTGTCATTCACAGGACATAGAGGCGAAATGCGAGAGATGAATCAATTATCTGGTGGACAAAAATCACTTGTAGCGTTGGCCTTGATATTTGCGATACAAAAATGCGATCCTGCACCGTTTTACTTGTTCGATGAAATCGATCAGGCACTAGATGCACAACACAGAAAGGCAGTAGCAGATATGATCCACGAGCTTAGTTCTGACGCCCAGTTCATCACCACGACATTCAGGTGACGTAATGCAATCAGCAGCCTATAAGATTTTGAGATTGATTCAAAATGACGTGATTGTTATGTTAATAGGACAATATAAAAAATAAAGATGTGTTTGTTTCGCAGACCGGAATTATTGCATCATGCAAACAAATTCTATGGAGTAAAGTTCAGGAATAAAGTTTCACATGTCGAATGTGTGACGCGGGAAGAAGCGGCTGATTTTGTCGAGGACGATACAACACACGGTTAAAATATTTATAATCTACAATCAAGTTTTTTTTGCGTGATTTCAGGAGATAATACGCGTACAAATAGATCAACTTTGTTATTATTTCCATCGAGATTTTCTTCATATTGACAGAATTTTTGAGATACTTTACGTATGAAATCACATAAAGAGAAAAAATTAATTTCTTAATGTTCAGCGTACATTCGGATTCTTCGCATAGATCATTGTAATGATAGTCATGTTACACATGACAAATTTTAATAGAAAACGCAAGAGTCTTGATAATTTAACATTTTATTTGTAACAGATTACATATTATGGAAACATTGCAAAATATGATAATTGAAATTTGGTATATATATGAACTGTTTTTTATATTATAAACTTTATAAAATAAAATGACTATGATAAACACAGTAATGTCAGTTTCTGAAAAATCTCAGAGAACAATTGTTCAATTATATAATCAGGATAGTTTTTTTAAATGGACATAAGAAAGGTGTTAATAAGGTATTAATAAATAATTTCCAGAAAGAGAATTCGGTTTAAAAAGATGTTTATTCGAAGCATTCCTCTTATTAGTTATCGGTCCTAGCCTGACTTCGCATTCATTATATTATTACTAATTTTAATACTAAAAGCATTAATTAAACCAACAGTAAAAGAGATGTTAGTGTGTGCATCATATACAGAAATAATTTTATGAAATTTTTACTAGTTTAGAGGATTAATATTCTAGTTTTAGATTATTTTTACCTAAAACATATAATAACACTATCAACTTCCAAAGTGATGATATTCACGGTTCAGCCATCGGAGTAGTTTTTGTTAAATGTAAATATTAGAGTCCACAGCTTCACAATTACACTTCATTTTTGCACAAAGAGCCTCACTATACGTATATATGTGTATTGGTATACACATGATCACCGTAACAAGTCTTGCAATGCAAAGTCATCGATGACACTAAAGGCCACTGCGTTTGCATGAAAGAATCATGTGTACAATGTAACTTTTATTCCAAATGGCTTTTCGAACACAGATTTTAAGAGCAATATGATGATAAGTATCCCATATGGCTAATGTATCTGCGATACACGAATGCGAATTTCCTTAATATCAAAGGAATTTGTGACAGCAGAGCAATATGATGATAAATATCCCATACGGCTAATGTATCTGCAATACACGAATGCGAATTTCCTTAATATTAAAGGAACTTGCGATAGCAGTGTTATTCTTCTTTTATTACAAGTATGTTGTATGTGGTTCCTTACATCTTCAATGGATAGCAATGAGACCAGATTCCAGAAGTTTTTGTAATTTTGCAGCTATATCAGGATTCTTCAAATGGCTGTGCAAAAAGAAAAGAATTTATTAAAATTTCCGTCAACAGGGAAATGGATGTACATTTTAAAAACATTTTAATATTCCTTCGAGTATCCTTAGATTTTCAAAGAATATTCGATATGTAATATTAGATTAGGGAAAAAGTCTCTTTACAAGTTAGTAAGGACTCTTTTAGTAACCCATATATTCTATTTTAAAAAATTGGCAATTACACCACTTGATAGAGCAACGTTTCAGCTTTAAAAATTTGTATTTTTAATTGCGATACGATGATTTTTAACGGAGTTACGAGCAATAAAGTCCGAATTTTCCTTTTTACTTAATCCATGAGTAACTCAGAAACAAAAACTCGTAGGAAGTAGTAGTTTTAAAAACCGATCTTTTGTAGGGA